GAAGGGACGGTTTTGAGCAACTAGATGTCCGGACCCCCACCGATGGATCTCAGGAAATCTTTCTTGGCTTTCGGCCAGCCTAAGAGGACGGGCCGGAGCTCTTACCCACGCTCTTCGACGGCCTCATCTGGCGGAGTCGGAATTCCCAGAACGGGCTCAGGCGGGTGAACTACTTCATCAAGTACCTGACGCCTGAGCCAAAGCCACCTCCAGGTTTGTCGTCTTTCCCCTTTCTACTAGTTTTCGTGTCATGGATCCGGGTTGCTGAAAGAAGCGAGGATAGACGTTAGAAACTTTCTGCCGTATCTACATTTGCTTCTTTCGAAACCCGGATCCATGACATGAAAACCACTGGCGCTTCGCCGGCAGGGTCAACGAATTCCAGATGCAGTTTTCCATGCTGTGCGTTCTATATGGAAGATTCTTTTTTGAGGGGACAAGGGCGAGGTTTCTCTCTATTTTCCTGAAGATACTTTCCCTGCAGGTCAAGCGCCAGCCATATGCCCATAAATGCCCATGACCACATGGTACATTTTCAGGGTGGCTCAAGTATGGCCACAAGCAGAAAGGCATTCTGGGTTGGGGGGCAAAAGCTGAGGTGGAACTGATCGGGCTTGATCCTGAGATGGGTTTTCAACATGCCCCCTTGCAAACAAACAGAGGGCCCGAAAAGGGGAGCCCACAAAGGGATTTGTCTCAAGCAAATGATCTGGAACCGACTAATTCTTAGACCTCCAGCGCCGCTGTTGCTGTCTCGGCTTTTTGGCTCACTCGCTTACCCAACGCGAATCGATCTTTTTACAGGTGTGGTGTTGAAGTTTTGGCTCCATGTTTCGCCGCTTGGTCCCAAGTGATCACCTTGTGCTAGGTCCAAACTTCTTGGGGAAGCAACTCCCTTCAAACTCAATTGCCCACCTTTTGCCCATGGCCTCTGGAGAGGCATGCAAATCGACCCCTGATTTTGTGAACACCCCGACCCCTCTCAATTGTTTTAGGCGGAGTTCCCTTGCTGGTTGGACCCCTTCTCGTTTCCATGGTTTCTGCATTCTTGTTTTCAATGGTGACCCCCTGATTCTTCAGGCATGGCTTCCAAGTTATCAGAAGGCCCTGAGATCCCTGAAGCTGGGGTCCCTATATTCCCTTTTTGGTGGTTTTAAGCATCACAGGTTTGGCCCATCGTTTTAAGGGAAATATAGGGCCTGCCGCAAACGCCCCGACTAAATTGCCATTGAAGCACCAGGAAATGCGAGGTGATTGTTTGGTGATCGACAGAGATCCAAGTACCTCGTACTTGTGGATGTAGAGTCAGTGGAGGATTTCCCTTGAACCGCAATCAATATGAAGCACTCCCCTTTGCACCAAAACAAGGCCCTAAGCCCTTGTTCAGGGCGTATTTGTCTGACTGGGACGTGTTTTTCCTTTTTTTTCTTCAGCGCTTGTTTTCCTGAGCTGCAATGGTTTCCCTTGGCGCTCAACCATGTGACTTCCAAGGATCGTGGATACCTCGGGGAGTTTCTCGGAGTCCTTCCGGCATGTGGTGGACAACGACGATCCCAGCATCGCCTCATTGCCAGAAGCGTGTTGAGTTTTGTTTCGTTGGTTTTTTTTCTCCTTCATCGGCCCTTTCAACCAGCAACTGGTTTAACTGTCTTGCGGGGCCGAACTAAGCACGTCTTCTTTGTCTTCAGTTGGGTTTCAATCACAACCGGGTCGAAGGTTAAGGGAAAATCCCAACCACAAATGGGCGCAGCCTCTTGTTTGATCCTTTGATGGCTCTGGGTAGACCATTGGAACACGGATCGGTTTTGATTGTGCCTCGGTTGGCCTTGCGGCGCAGAAAACATGCGGTGGCCACTCTTGAGGCTTGTCACCCTGCGGTGGTGCTGTCTGCAGACATCATCTGGTCGCGCCTGGCATCCTTCACCTTCCTCTTGGGGAAGAGCCTTGCTCGCAGATAACAAGAGGTATTGCGGAGGCCCGATTTGTTGCAAGGGGAATCAGGGGAACCTGTAGATGACCGCAAATTAACAGGGTGTAGTGGCTGCATGGGTTTCGAGCACTTGCGATATTGTAGGAATGCACTGGGCTTGGATTATAAAGGGGGCTATGAAGCTCCCAGATGGATTTGGTTTCCAACAAGTGGAACATCGCCTCAATCAGCACATTTCCTTCCTCCAACATCTCCAACCATCCACGTTTCGAGGGTAGGCTCGAAACCGGTGGAAACATCACCCATGGGAATACCACAGGTCCCCTAGCACAGCGCTGCCAGAAGGAGACAGGGTTTAAACAGCACCAAAAGGTGATGTTTGACACCACTAAAAGTGGACCTCTATGAGTGTGTCTTTTGTTGCGGTACCCTTTCTGGTTTTAAAGCGGAAACCAAAAGGAACACCGCGCTTTTTGCCAAGACATGTTCACCCATATCCACTACGCAGGCTGTGGTTCCTGCTGAACCTGGTGATCTTTGTGGTCACGCAGGCGGTGCTTTCAGACTACCGAGGCAACCAGCCCCTCTGATCAAAGGGCGATCCGCCCGATGTCTCGAGCGAACATCCTGGACACAAAGACCCCGAAAGGCTAAGGCCTTGGGTGTCTCACACTGTTGGTTTTCCAATGGGTCCTGTCCGTCCCCAAAACGGGTGCCAAAAGACACGCCCACTTGGGACACCCCCTGAAGGGCTGTGTCCACTTCAACGTTCACCCTCTTGGAAACTGGACCTGCTAAGGGCAAGGGGACCCGCCACAAAATACATGACCTCCCGTGGCAGGTCCGTTTCCAGCCCCATGGTAGCTTTTGTTTGGTGTCCTTTATCATTCCAGGGCCTTCGGGGATGCAAGGAGGTGATCCAGAAAAGGCGGTGATGGAATTCGGAGGTATGCATGCTTGTTGTTGGGAAACATTTTGCAGTTTTGCTTTTGTGGTTTAGTGGGAAACCCCCAGTTAACTGCTACAATATATATTTTTTGCTCCCCTTCCAATGTCCACCAAGTATGGAGCTTGTGAACTCCTTGCATAAGGGTTTGCCCTGCGTTATAAAAACTCATACTAGTGACATTAGGGAAAGCCTCTTAACCCATGCCGGCAATGCCCGTACCTGAAAATAGTGTTGACCACTCGGAAAGGTCAAGGGCGATTTCGGTGTTCGGGCTGCCTCCCCCCTAAGCCGCGATTTCAGGGGGTTGACTGGGGAGCATATGCAGCTACATAGCTACACAAGGGTGAAAGTAGATGGCACAATTCCCTTTACATGAATGCCGGTAAGTAAAAGAGATGACTAAACCCTCATGTCTACAGTAGTTACCCTACTAACAGGGGTCCCTTTACTATTTTATCTTTAAACATCACCTTACCAAGAGGAACTCAGCTCCAATTGGCCCAACAAGTTATGTTTAAACTGGCTTCAAAAAGGACTTATAGGGACCTCTGACTGCAGGTGCGGGCTTAGCGGGCCCCAGCTTGGCCAACTTTTTTTGCGCATGAGGTCTTCGGCCGCCTCTTTGTGCGTCTTCATTGGTCGGCTCTTCATCTACATCCTGGGCTTGGGGCAACTGCTGATCCATCACCTCTATAACATCTCCAAGTCCTGTCGGGCGAGAGATGCGGCTTAGCCGTTTGCGGTCGCTTGTTTGCCGGTCGTCGGGGGTTGCTTCCTTGTCTTCTTGGCAGTTTGGCAGTCTGATTGGGGCCTGCTCTTCACAAAACCACTGGCAGAGGATGGAGCGGCCGCTTTCAGGGTATCACAGTCAGAAACGGGGGGGAGGGTTGCCTTTGCAAACTGTAAACCACACTTACTCAGTGGTGATGTGTTTTTTTGTTGTTTTGGCGGGAATCGCTTCAGGTAGTTGGTTGTTTGGATTGTTTGGATTGGTGGTTAGGTTACAGGGGGGCCCTACCCCGTTTGGCGTCAAAAGGACACATGAGCCAACGGAGGTGAAGTTCATCAAGTGCATCCCGCTGCCCTCTTACCTCATCCACTTCTCCGAAGCGCTGAGCGGCCTGCTGTGCCTGGCCCTTGTTGGCATGCCCGAGCCTCAGAGACGTCTCGCAAGCGGCCCGCAATACTCTTTTTGGGATGCGCCCCCCCAAAAAGAAGAAGAGAAAAGCCAACAAAAGTGGACGAACCGCTCCAAAAGTTGCAGGGGAGTGGGGGAAATCCAAAGCAAGAACTGGGGTCCTGCGGCTCAGCCCGAGTCCCGGATGCAGACAGCTCTGCTTGTTCCTCCCATGTCATGTTCTTCATGTTCTTTGCGGGGATGCTCCGAGCCACCAAGCCCCAGCGGCGCCGCAAAAAGGAGGGCAGGCCCAGTCAGCTAAGACCGCATTGGTCTTCACAGATGAACGGGCAGAACGGGCTGTGCGCCTCCTGAGTGTGTTTCACGCCCTTGCGCTCTGACAGGGGTCCCTCCAATTCCCTTGTTACCTCCAAAAGAGACTGTTTTGTTGGAGCCTACCAGTAAATTAGTAAACCGCAACTTTTGAAGGGGAAATCCGAGTGGCCCCTCCATGTTTTGAGGCCGCCGTGCCCGGTTCAGAAAGCGAGGGAAAGGCTTTCCTCCCCCCTTCGAACGTGGTTTTCGGTGCTTTTTTCTGGCCGTTTCGGCAAAGAACTGGACTTCGTCGAGGTTACTCCTAGGCCGGGCTTGGGTTGTTGTCTCAACAGTCAACATCCTGGGATTTTGTCTCGGGCAAAAGGTTGTCACCATGAACACATCTTGACTGGGACGAAAGGGACAATTCCATGATCCCAGTCGTTGTGCGGAAGCGTCTAAATGGGTGTGTTTGTTCCTATTGGATCCCCTTTTTGACAACCACAAAAAAGTGTGCGAAAGTTGGTCAACGGTGGTGGTTTCCTTCCCTGAGAATCTTGGAGCCTCAACAAGGGCTACTTTGAAGTCTCAAACCTCCGAGAGGTCCATACTGGTGTTATGGTTCTTGGGGTGGGCTTCGTTTGCATGTGGATTCTAAATTAAGGTCGAAGGTCTAAGAGGAATTTGTTGCTCCCTTTGGCTTTATGATGGTTGTCTCCCGGCCGCAGGTCCGTTTTTTTTTTTTTTTTTTAATAAAAGTCCTTGGGGCCCGCCAAGCTTTTCACCCCGCCAAGCTCCGTTTGCTCAACCCCTGGTGATGGAGTGGCATCCTTGGGCCGGCTTCCCACCCCCGCTGTTTGCTCAACCCATGGTTTTTTCGTTGGGAACCATGGTGCATTTTTGCTTATTGCGGTTTAGTGCTTGAAATCCCACCACTGATTGAGAGAATTTTGCTCCCCTTCCAAGGTCAACCAAGAATCCTTGGTGATGGAGTGGCCCAGAGGCCCCACCTCCCCCGCCTAAGCTCAAGCCCTGGTGATGGAGTGGCATCCACCCCGGCTTCCCACCCCGCCCCGAAGCCCTGGTGACTGAGCCCAGGTTCTGCCAGGAGCCGATCCTGCACTGCTTAGGCATCCCCCGGGACCCGGAGGCACCAGACTTCGCGGAGCTGGGCGCCAACTGCCCGGAGGCGTGGCCTTGGGGGGGCGGTGGGTGGGTGGGTGGCTCGGAGCAGGGGGTTTCGATTTGGCAGTGGCTCAAAACCCAGGAAACTCCTGGTGAACATCCCAAATAGGTGGCAAATGGATGAACAAGTCCACCCCAAAATGGAGCCATAGGTTATGGTTCATGGCCATATAATTCCATTTTTTCGGTGGGTTTACACATCACCCTAGCTGGGGAGGGGTCCCCTGTTAGAGATTGCTGACCCAAAAACTGGGAGAGTTCTATGTTTCTATGGTTGTTTTAACGGGGAAACTGTCAGGACTGATTTAAATGCACATCCAACCCGTTGGCATCCTAAGCATATACATATGGAAGTGCGTGAGCAACCGTTAGGGGTTTAGGTAGATTCCTCAAAAGTGCCAGGCCTTCCACACTTCAACTGGTTCGTTCTCGAGCGGAACGTGTAAGAAAGGTTTCTTTTGGTTTCCTTTCATCAGTTTTCTGACCATCATGGACTACTTGTCTAACAAGCTTAGTGCGGAACAGTCCTATGTACCAGACAAAAATATGTACCTCAGCGGGTAAATGGCTATTTCCCAGCCCATGGGCCAAACTTTGTAGCATGCCTCGTGCAACCCAGGCGAATCCAAGGAGCTTTGGCCGAATACGTTGCCTTTAAGGGTAGAGCCAGTAAGCCAAACCCAGCTGGCGTATAACCCCCGGTTTCGAAACCATTCGGAGTTCGAACATCGGACCGCACATCATTGGTCATCATTGCCTGGGCGAAACCTGGGGTCTCCTCCAAAACTGTGTTTGAACTTAGGCTAGACGAAACACTATGAAACAGAATCAGGAAAACATATTTTCTGTGCATGTACAATGGTTCAAAGAAACCTTCCACGTTTGGGTCCTTTTTCAAGGTGGATCACCTCATCGGATCCTACTCCTCCTTCGCCTTTGCAGCCACCTTGCTCTACTTCCTCTTGCTGCTGGCGCCTTGCCGCCGCCCACTCCCTGGGGCAGTGGTTTGGGTCTTCTTTGCTTTTCCGGGTGCCTTGTTTCCTTGCCATGTTGTGGGGTTCCAATCCATTCCTATGTTGAGACAGTCCCTTCCGGGGAGTTGAAGTGGTACAACGTGGGGTTGGCCCCTCAGCAAGTGCGGATATCCTCTACTTGCTCAAGGATATATTTATGTCTCTTGTTGGTTTTAAAGGGAATTCATTACTACTGGAAATATGTTCATTTGTTCCAGGCGGCTTAAGCAAATGGAGGGATATCTTCATTGCTTTTGGGTTTGTCCTTTTCAGTGCGGAGCCTGTTTGGGGCCGGTTCAATTGCGAGCGCTGCAACAAAAATACATGGTTTCATTATGCTTCGCTGAGACACCAGGGTTGGGAGCATAATTCCTCGAAAATCACATTTTCTTCGATGTTTTCAAACATCGAACCTCAAAACGCCACCAGCTCTAAGGGGACTAACAAACCCGTCCTATAGATAGCTCTCGATAGGGTGTGTGCGTTATGGTGCTTTTTGCTACCAGAAGGACGCGCATTTTCTGTGACTTGCAGACAGAGGATATGGGATGGCTCTCTCCCCGATAGCCTCCAGGGTGCTCGGTTGGCACTGGTTTTTGCGTGTCCGATTCCATCGGAGCCCGAATTCTTCAACGATGTGCCGAGGTTCCAACTGAAAGTAGCCCACCAACATGGAATCTGACTGAGGGGAGGAAGACATTTTTTCCTTTGAAAGGGGTTCTTTCAGTGGAAAGCCATGTTAGTGGGCAGGAGCGTAATCTTCGATTTGGAACATGTTCTTAGCAAGGGGAAGGCCGTCCCTCCCGGCAAGGCCGTAAGGGAATCTCCTTTAAAGTGACTGAGTCACGGGAATCGGCCACACAACGGTATCTCGGATTTCGGGCGATTTGATCGAACACAAGAAACGAGACACAGGTTGCACCCGAAGGAACCCTTTGTTCCTTGGCCTCCCCCGAACCCCCCCCCCCCCCGGCAGAAAGAAATAAGCCCCGGGTGGCAGGTATCCCCCAACAGCCCCCCGAACCCTCCTGAAAACCCCGGAACCCTCCTTGAAAGCTGCCCCAAACCACCCCTCAGCCTATCTGGCAGAGATCTCATAGCTTTCAGCTATTGCCGGGAAAGAAGCCAAAAGCACACAACACAAGGTTGCGGTCCCCGGACCTTGTGTTCACTCGAGGAGCTCACGGTTTTTAGCACCAAGCTTTCGACCTTCGTGCTGGTCTGTGGCCGAATGCTGTCGGAGGTTGGACAGTGCCTCAGCCCGGAGTTTTTGAGGTGGGGAGCCAAATTTGACGGAGCTCAGGAGCACCAGAGATGGTAGGTGACCGAAGGTTAGCATGGAACCCCAAGAATCCATGCCCTGTCCATGCCCTGTCCTTTGGGGTTTCTATATGGATTGGGCACCTGGAATCTGCACCCCTTCCCCCTTTGATTCCCCACCTCTCTGCCCAATATGCACATGAGGGCTTTTGGGATCTCCTGGTTTGACATGTTAGTAAGGTTCACCACGGACCACCATCAAACATCTCGTTGGGGGCAGCATCTAGGGCCTTGGCCTGGCTGAGCCGACTTTTGCCTAATCCCCACATGGACGGGGGCGCCGACCCGAAATCTCCACTCAGAGTTGCATCTTACTCGTGGGGAAGACTGGTGACTAGACGCATGGAATTGGAGACATTGAATGAAGAGAGAAGGGCTTTGTGGTTCGAGGGCCCAGGGGTTCTCGAAGCGGCCAAGTGCAAAGACCCCCCTCAAAGAGTGTGACGACCCACACCCCTAAAGAAAGGAACCGAGGTCTGGAGGTCTGCGGTCAGCCAACAAAGCTATTTGGCCTTTGAAGCCGATCGGGTTCTCTATATTTCCCTTGCCATTACCCCACCAAAAGGAAGCTTGCATCAAATTGGCAAAATGTGATGACCAAAAAGGAAACGTAGGGAACCCTGAACAATACTTGATACTTCGAAGCGTTTGGCGAGATCCCACCATTCGGACCATTCCTTTGGTCTGGCTAAGGAGTAGACAGCCAAAACCCTCCGATCGTCAGCTTCCATGGTCGTTGGAGGGATACTCACTTGCCCAAAGCGAATCGGCCTCTTAGCGTTTTTAAGTTGTCCCCTTTCATTTTGGTCCATTTTTGATCTTGGCCCCCAAAGCTGATCACCTCTTTCCAGGCCCCTAAGAGCCAAGTGAGTTGCATCAATCCATCAATCCCCAACAAAAGAACACCCCACCAAAATCAACCAGCACTTTGCTTAATCCGTCACACGGCAAAAACACAACACATCAAGCCCAGACCTTCTTGCTTCCTTTGGGGCAAAAAAAACCCTCTCGGGAAGCCCGTCGCACGCGCCTCGAACCAACGAGTCTCAGAGCGCGGAGGTTCCTCTTCGCGCTCTTCTTCGTGGTGGTGGCCTTCAGCTGTGGCCTGGCCTCCTCCGACGTGGGCAACGAGCAGCGCCTCGATCTCGCCATCTCCGATCCGCGCGATTCGCTCAAGTTTGAGGGCTTGACTGGGTTTTTTTTTTTTTTTTTTTGAGCCATCCGGCTCAACTCGGCTTTTTAGGTAGCTTTTTGGTTGGTTTAGTGGCATCTTCCACGAACAGATGCTGAAAGTTGGACTTTTAGCAGGGATCCGGGAGCAGCCCAGTTTGGTCGCCTTTTGGGTTGAGACCATTTTAGTGGCAAACACAAAGGTTGGAGACTTGTTTCTGGCCAGCCAAATCAGGAAGTGAGATGTGACCACGTGATGGGAGGCCCGTAGAAAGCAGAACCCCTGGTTTGGTTGATTCATGGTGGCTCCCAGCGATCCCCGGAGCCTTTTTGCCTTGTAGTGTTTAGTGGCAGTTTCCACTTAACACACTGAAAGTTAAGCTTTTAGCGGGGGATCTAAGGGAAGCCAGTCATAGTGTTGTTTTGTTAAATGTGGATCATTTTGCCACTTTTATTTTTTCCTCTTGAAGGGCTGCCCATCAATCCATTATTTGGGTTTGAGCTTCTTGGAATCCTGCCCTTCCCACCTTGGTAGGGAAACCAAAGGACAGCCATCATTATTTGAATTTTTCTCGGGGAGTCCCCCGAGAAAACTATATAATAGGATGGAAGCAAGCCACACAAATCCATTTTCAGAGGAATTTCCTTCTGTTTTTGTCTTTTCTTTTGAGCTCCTGCCCACAATTTGCAGGGGAGTGTTCCAACTGCAGCGGCTACATTGAAACATGACGACTCCAGCCCTGGTCGAGTAAAGAGGTGGGAGGGACCCAGGGGTCCCTAGTGTGGCTGCTTGTTGTGCTTGGTGACCCGGCCGTGAAAGCCTCAAGCACAGCTCAGCGCCCGAAACAAGTCGACTGGATCTCACCTTCTAGTTTCCCCATGTGGCCCCAGACGGCGGTCTTGCTTGTCCAGGTCCACAAGCCCAACAAGCCCAAGATCGTTCAACCGCAAGTGAGTTGAGTTTCAACCGCAACAAGGCCCAAGAGGCTTACTCCGGACACATGGGACGCCGCCAACCACACACATGGGCCGCAGGTTGATGCCCACATGACTTGCCCAGACCCGCGGTGGAGGCCCTAGATATTGCAAAGGGATCAAGAACTCCCCTGTAATTTACTGCAATGTTTAGTGGTGTTGTGGTTGGATGTGGTTGGTTCACATGCAACATCTAAGGAATCCACCGTAGCCGGGAACCTGCAAACTGTCTTGTTGGGTCCCCCGTAGCACTGATTCGCATGTGATTTGGAGGCGTTTTGGGTTTGCCGTAGGAGACGTGGCTGCCAATTGGGTGGCCAAACCCGAAGCCCGAAGGGCGCTCATTAGCCAACCGCCCAGCAAAACTCTTGGTTGGACTGTTGCCCTTCCAGATTCCTTGTCCAACAAGCGAAAACTTTCTGTGATAGACCAATCGCCAGAAAGTCGGTTTCGGATTGGTTTCAGATTGGTGTCGGGTTTGGGCCCCACGTAGCAATGGGGAACCCCGAGCCTCCACTCACCACGGAAGGAACCAGGCGCCCCCCTGAAAGCGGCTCAGGTTCTCGGACATCTTTCCGGCCATGCTCAGCTTGTCCCGCATCATGCTGGGAATGTTCAGCAGCGAGGAGAAGTGAACCGAAAGGGCAAACACATCGAACACTAAAATCTTGTGGCCACATGTGGCCACAGAACTGCTGGCATTGAAGTACGCAACCCCATTCTACTCTTTCCGGCTCAGCATATTTTTTCAGGTCCCATGATGTCCCATGTGATTCATTGTCCCATCCCGAACTCGCTTTGTTGCGTTTTTCTGTTGGACCTGACAGAAAAACCTCCCAAAGCTGGGATGGCAACGACGGATGTTGGATAATCAGGTGCCGGGTTTGCCTGTTTATGGGTTCGGGACCCAGGTAAGTACTGACTGTATTGCTCGGATGTGCAAACTGATTGTTACTCACTATGTTCAGGTGATTCGAACCCCCCCCCCCCCCCGGTTCTTGCAGAGGGTGAGTGGGGTTTCCCACACCCCAAGTTCGCAACCACCGAGCCAAACCACAAAAGAGAGGGAATCTGATATGTAGTTGAAGGTCCCTTAGCCTGATGCCTTTGGCGTAAGCGATCGCCAGATTGCCCTAAGATTAGCTCGTTCCTTTGAATACGTGGATTTATCCTGAGCTCTTGACGGATGCTCAGCTTGGCTCATGGGGGGCTCCAGCCGATGCAAGCAGGGACATGGGGTTTCCCTTACGCTCCATGCAAAATGGATGAGCGGAATCCATTTCACGCCGTTCGGAAACCCAACGGAATGATTCGGTTCCCCAACGTAAATACCCACAAACCATGGTTTCGGCCATGGTTTCTTAGGTAGTGCGAAATTGTTTTCGCAACCATCCCCAGTATTTCTCCTCTTCCGGCCTTCTGGTTTGCTCCGTGGCAATCAGCCAAGCGCTTCCCCGCATCGATTGTAAAAGCCACCGTGGAACTGCCGCGGAAGTAATGCTGGACTCTCTTTAATGTAACCCCCCCCCCCCTGAACAGTGGAACCAGTCGGCGGGACTCTCTTTAGTGAGATCCTGGGGGTCCGGGAAAGGCAGTTACTTTAGCATTGCCAATTCTACTTGAGTATTGCCAAAGCTCCCTCTCAGATCCCCAGTACTTGCTTTAGCATTGCCAATTCTACTTTAGTATTGCCAGGGTCGTTTTTCAGCAACCCCCAAAACCAGTTGGACACTAAAGAGGACCCCAAAACAGTCGCATTAAAGAGGATCTGGGCCTCTTGTGGGCACCCCCCCTTTGTGTGACTGTTTGCCCGCACTTTTTTGTAAAGAAGTTATCTTAAATATGAAAGTTTGGGAACAACTTGCCAAATCAATTTCCTAGATCTCAGGCCTTTAACCTTTGAGCTGGGGGAGCTTAGGATGAGTCCCCTTCTTTAAAAGTAAAAGGCTGAGGCTTTGGTTTTCAGTTTGCAGCAACCCCGAAACCAGTGGACACTAAAGAGGGCCCCAAAACAATCGCGTTAAAGAGGATCTGGGCCTCTTGTGGGCACCCACCTTCGTGTGACTGTTTGCCCGCACTTGTTTTGTAAAGAAGTTATCTTAAATTGGATGGCTTGGGGCTACTTCAAGAAAACATTTTCCCAATGTTTGCCAGGATTTGGTTGCCCTTTTTTTGCCCGACTTGTTTGCCAAGTTTTTTGCACATATTTTTCCCAGCGTTGTTTCCGGCAAAAAACTTCCACAATAGAGAGCCCCTAAAACAGTCAAACGATTCTGAATTAGAAACAACTCCACATCAGAGAGCACTATTAATAAAGGAGGTCCAACATTACATGGCACAGTGTCACGAGTTGGAATTTGCAATTTACCAGGGTCTCCGATATTGGTTTTTTCAGGGTAGAGAAACATACGATTTCCAGTTTTTGGCCAAGTTTTCTTACCCAAATTGCTAAGAGTTTTAATGGGGGAAGTGGTGGACATGAACCCCCATCGAATGCTGTCCCCCAAGGGGTCCAACCGGGCAAAAGTCAAACCCAAAGAACGGAAATGGCACCCCCTCCCCGGGTGCTACGCATCGTTCGCTGGGCTTGCAGAGTTTCGGCGTGTCTCTTTTGAATGTTTTTTTTCTTCATTGGGCCTCTTTAGGCACAATCTGATCCTTCAGGGAAGGCTTCCCTTGGCCGGACGCCGATGCCAACGGGCCAAGGGAAGCCCCAAGGCTGCGGATTCCTTTCAAGCTAAAGGGTAGTGCAGACGCATTTTCTTTGCAATGTATGTATACGTCTGGTTCCATATTTTACGTGTATATATATATATAGAAGCTACGACATATGTATGTTTATTGATATTCGTGTATCTAGAGGTTTGTCTTTCGGGGAGCCAACCACATACATGCTCTTACCGTTGCTTTGGAACTTGACAAGGGGTCCGTTTAACAGAAACTTGTCTTCCAGGTACCCTCCCACATGTGTCCTCTTCTGATGGGAAGGGAATCCCAGAATGAAGTTTGGGCATTTTGGCCCACCATCTTACACCTATCCAATTTGGCGCCTGCAAGCCTCATTCCCCCGGCCTCCTTTCAAACAGAGTGCTATTTCCGGTAGGGCCAGTTAAATATGAGACAGAATCTGGGCATCTGATTTTCGGTGTACCCCAATGTCAGATTCACCCAGTGGCTTCACACTCCAGGAGATGCAAGCCCTGGACGAGCCGAAGCTCGTACTCTCCGTGAGCATATTCGTGTGGCTCGGCCGATCGGGCTTCGCCATGGTTTTTGTCCCGCCGAAGGGGCGGAGTTGGAAGAGAAGGAAAGAAACCACCGACCTGGACTGGGAGACCAGCGGTGCCCGTTGTTTAACTTGCTGGAACCCTTTAATCCGGAAAAGAGGTGGATCTGGAAACAACGCGTTTATTGCCGTTGTTTCAACTTTTCTGTACACAGTGGGTTCGTTCTTTCTCTACCATGGCCGGAGGTCTGGGATCATTGCCTCCGTTGTTGCTCCTTCAACGATTCCGTACACCCAGCAAGCAACTTTTGGCCACCACAGCGTGTTTTTGGATCAAAGGCGGCTTGTTGGCCATTTCTTGGGACGTGCCCCAGCCGATCGTTATTTTCCGTGCTGCGGCTTTTCTTTGTTATGTGTTCAGGCTGCACCCTGGTTGGATTGAATTTGGGAGTTTGTGTTTTGAAGTTTAGTGGGGAGAAACACCTGGAACAACCTCACATCACGTCTCCAACTCATGAAGCAAGTTTCAGCTGCACCCGAACAAGGTCTCGTTTGGACGGCAAAAAACTGAAGCTGGCTGGTTTCGGTTTCGGTGGTGGCGGTCAGGTGCGAAAAGGTGGCGTTGCCCGTTTCTTGGTTGAGGTTCGGAACCAAACCTGGTTCTTGGTGGTGGAGTTTAACTGACTTGCCCAAATCGAGTCGACCGGATCTGATCTTTGAGTTTTCCCTTGTTGGTCCATGCTTGGTCATGTCCCCAGAAGGTGATCATCTTTTACTTCCAGGTTCTTTGGGGAAGTGGCGTGTGCAGGGGTTTATGACACATCCCACAAGCTTTACTTTTGGCAAGGGTCCCTTCCCATGCAATTATCCCCATAACTCCCCGGCTTTCACCAAATAAGAGCGTAAGTAAGGCCTCAGCCGGGTCTTGTCCGGGGAAGGGGAGAGGGGAGTTAGGAGATGTGCAGTAGGAGAGCATGGGATGACATGACAGTTTGGAGTGCGAAGGTGAAGTGAGGCACACGACGCAGTCCCAACAAGAAGTGGAAGCAGACATAGCCCTGTTGGTTCTTGATGACGCAAACGGACCTGACCCCCTTTGGGTTTCACATGTACCCGGAACGGGTTGCACAAACCTTCACTCTCCATGTGCGACAGTCCTTTGGCTGCAGCATTTGCCCGTCCCCACCGAATCCAGTAAAAGCGCTTTGGAATCCGGCATTTGGCGTCGCTAGATTTCCGCTTGGCGGGTCCTGAGCTGTTCAAGCCCCGGTTACCCTCCCCCTAGCAGGGGAGAATCTTAGCCCCCCACCCCTAGAAGGCGTTCTCCTAGTGGGGAGTGGGCCCGAATGACCATCGCTAAGACTCCTGGCAGGAAGCTTAGTGATGTTTTTGGTTTTTGTTTCTCGCATGAAACTTTCGGTCTTGACCGCGCACACGCGGACCTCACACGGCCCCAAACAATGTTCCGACTTGCGGAGTCCTGAGGATTTGTACCACCATCTTCTTGCTGAACCTCTTGATGCTCAGACGCGGTTGCACATTTGGCATGTACCGCATTGAAAATTGCGTCCGGCCATCCGAATGCTGAAGAGCGCGTTTGGTTTTGGGGAAATCACCAGCGCTAGGGGATGGACAGCTTCTTGTCACCCAAACCCTCCTATTTGGCCCCCGGCTTTCATAGGGTTAACTGTTTTTTTGGTGTCAGGCATGCTGCGAGGCTGGTGGTTCTCCCAGCCTACGAACATGAAACTGACAACCACAGTTTCGAAGACTGTGTGTTTCCAGTGGCTTGGAGCACCCGATCATCCAAATCTGGTTTTCCTCGAGGTCAGGCGCGATGCTTGAGGCCAACGGCCCGTGGCACTGCGCAGTGTCAGCGAACGAAACCACCAAACCGGTTTGCTTTCCACTCCAATCGCTTGAGCGGGTTCATTTTGGCCACTGGGCTGTCTCAAAGTCTACCCCGGAGATGGCCACACCTCCGAAACCGGGCGCAGGGATGAGGCATGCCGGCGTGCCCTTCCGGATGTTTCTGCCCTCCCGAAAGCTGCAAATCCCTGGGACTCAATCCACCCTTAAAACAATGGCTGCGTTATATGAGCACCATGAGGTTTGCCTAAGGATTAGCTGAATTTGGGCAACCATGTTCTTAGATGGGGCTTGAACCCTAGGGAAATTGCAGCCGCCAATCGCTATTTCGAGCGAGGCTTCCCGGTGCAATGTTGGGTTGAAAACACAAGTTTCGATCTGAAAGGTTCATCGTTAGCTCAAGCCTCTTTCATAGTTTGGCGTGCACCGGGGGTGAGTTGGCCTGAGCCACCCTTGTTTTTGTTCTTCTCTTCAGTGATGTCCCTGCGACCCACAAGGGCACGTCCTGAACTTTGTTTTACCATCTACCAGGCGTGTGCCTGCCGAAGACCGCAGGTTTCCGAACTATCTTTTGAAAGGCCAGCTTGCTATTTGCTTTCATCTTTACTATTGCACAGGTGTATTCCCAAACAACATGTAGAGCTAAACCAGGTGTGTTCCCAGAACCATGTGTATTGAACAAAGTTGACCCCTGTAGAGCTAGAGAGCGCAGGGGCGAGCTCAGGATCGCACAGCTCAATTGCGCCTACTTGGGCATCTTCAAGGACATGCTTCTTAGTTGCAACCGCATGCAACCGCGGCCATTTCTCACTTCCTGAGTTCATGAGCTTTAAACTTTTGGTCGTAAACATAAAATCTTGGATCGACTTTGTAGTGGAAGACCGTTTTAGTGGTAAATGTAAAGTTGGGACTTTTTAGTGGATCACCTTTTTAGTGGTAAGTGTAAAGTTTGGATCGACTTTTTAGTGAGACTTTTGTGTGTCCCGGCCACCCCTTCTAGTGGTTGTATCAACATGGTTCCTTTGGAAACCACTCTGTGGTCTCAATCTTGTTCCTAGGTGTCCACTACCCCTGCTACTGGTTGTATCAATTTGTTTCCCTTGAGGGTGGCTTGGGGGTGCTAGTCGTTGCATCTTTAGCATGTTTCCTTTGGGGGTTGGCTTGCGGGTGACGGAAGCCTCTTGGATTGTTGGTCGTTTTGGTCATGTCTTTGGGGTCATGTGTTTGCCGTCGTCAACCTGGGTGTCAGACTTCGGCCTTTTTGATACTTGTCTTTGTTGTTTTCCCTCCTGGCTTCGACTGGCAAGCAAACATCTGTTTTGTTTGCTGTGGGCACGTTCAGAGGCGTTTAGGAAATTCTCACTGAGAACATGGCCCTTGCCCCCCTTTGAAAGGCCGAGTTCGGCTTGCACGGTTGGGATTTCTTCAATCCTTTCGGCTATAGGGGACTGACAGGTGGATTGGTGGCCTTTGACCCCGCAACCATTTTCGGTCTTTGATTAGTTGGCGAAAACTCCCCCCCCCCCCCAGAGCTCAGAATCAGCCGAAAAGCCCCACCATCTCGCGGACCGCCCAAGCCGCGGATACGCGCCGCTATGCGCCCCGCGAGGCTCGGCTATGCGCGGTTGAATCGGGGCTCCATCATTCTCGACAACGTGATCGACGTGTCGGCGAAGAGATGGAATCGCTTCACCGCATCCCTGCGCATGGATGAGATGCTCGCAGTGGATTAAGATGTGCGTTTGGCATTTGGCGTGGGAAATAAGGACCGAAGAGGTTCCGTCATTTTGCCCGACGAATCATGACTTATTCGGTTTTAAGTACATCAATCCTCATTCGAATCAGGGTCGTACCACATAGTTTGGAGGTCGTTCTCCTTCTGGATTTCAGGATAGGGAAATAGGTGACTGCTAAGAAGCTGCTTGTCCCAAAAGTGAAGGATTCCCTCAGGGGAGTTTCTATTGACCAAGCGGTGGTCATGAACGCTGGGTTAGCATTTTGACGGATATCCTCTTGCGTAATGCTGCGAGCCGCAAGCCTCGACCTTAGCGAGGGACCAGGCAGCGGCTCAAAGGTTGCCTGAAGCTTCCGAAGGTAATAAAGCAGCATGCCCTGGCTGTTCTTCCCAAAGTTATTTTGACTGTTTGGATGTAATTCCCAGCTTCTCAAAGGTACCCACTAGATCCCTTTGTGTGTCTGGTGGCTTCCTTTGATGGGCATGTATCATAAACCTGTCGTTACTTTCCACTTGATGACAGTGGCAAATGAAACAAATATGGGCTGCCCTTTTTTTCAATACACGGCACCAAAAAAAGCAATTATCCCCAGAGAGCTGAATGCTATAGGGCTTCTAACTCTGAGAGGGGAAAGTGTTTTGCGAGGTCGAAGTCTGCGCTAGGTGCAGGGGCTGTTTTGGGCCCGTGCACCGGAAACAAGCAACAAACAGGGCTTGACTTTTTCTGGAACAGAAGGGGTCTGTGCACCTAATGTTGACCCCCTATTAATCAACCCCAGTTTATTTGTGGGGGGTGTTCCCCTCCAAAAGTGAACAATCCCCACGAAAGTCAGGGACACCCCCATATTAATACGCTGGGGTTTATTAATAGGGGGTGTTCATTAGCCATGTTGGCGAGAGGGTACCTCGAAGAGGACATCTACTCTTGCCGGTGGTTCGGTCATTTTTGCTTAATGAGGTGACCCTCAATGGCGGCAATGCGCCGGCATAGGGAGATTTCAGCAGCACCCCTGACCAGCACCCACAGCATCGCCAAACAAGCAGCACCAGCAAATTTCCGCGGCACCTTGAGCACCAGCCCGAACTCGCAAAGCAGCATCCCCCGCTTTGGACGTAGGAACCCCGAATAAGTTTCAGGTATACGGGGAAAATGCGCCCGCTATGCCAAACTTGCTTCAAGAAGCCGAAGGGACCACGCGCTGTTGCACATATGAGATTCATCTATGGCACTCAAGGCTATATGTTTAAGGTGTGTTTTTTTTTTTGGGGGGGGGTATGTCAAGCTTGTTCCAAGCCCTTCTACGAATGCACCAAGAGTATCTATGGCACCTGCAAAGCTATTGGTTTCCCCATGGGGCATAGTCACTATATGCCAACCGTTGCTCAAGACAGGGTTTTTCAACAGATACCTCAACAAACTACATATCTTACAGGAGATCTTCTAAATCAGCTTGTAATTGGTTGGTTTGTCGATAACCGCATTGTTATAGCCACACCACATCCTTTGGAACGTTAGCCCCTGCTAGACCCGAGGCGGCCAACTTGAGAGGGCCACCCCGTTTCGAGGAAAACCGCCCATGGAGGTGAGACCGATTTTCTATCCGCCTAGCCAAATCACTTGGCTTCAGCGTACGGTCGGCTCCTTCGCATAGGAAGTTGGAGTTCAACGAGGGCGACATCGGGCTGCCCGGGGGCATTCAAGTCTCGGAGCCTGCCAGCGCGCATCCGGTGACCACGGATCCTCAGATTGGGCGGGTCCGTGTCGATGGTTGTGCCTTTCCTAAGTCGTTTGGCCTTGGCCAAGGTGCAACCCGAACATCGCTACTTTTGGAAGGGGCAAAGATCAATACGATCAATATCACCCATGGCAATACCATGGGTCCCCTAACACAGCACTGCCGAAAGGAGACAAGTTTTTTTTTTAATATGGCACCAAAAGCTGATGCTTGACAACCACTAAAGTGGACCTCTGTGAGTGTGTCTTTTGGTTGAGGCGCCCCTTTTCTGTTTCCAAAGGGCAGCCAAGAGGAGCGCAGCACTTGCACTTTAATGCGGTGCCTTTGAACAACACCACACTTAAATCTTGTGGGGGATTTGGTGGGCGCTGCCATGCTGCAAGTAAACCAACCATACTTACACACCATGGTAAATTTATGGCACCAAGCCATCATTCAGACTCCTCTGATTGTTTGTGAGTCACTTTCCAATTTTCCCGTTGAAACAAAGAAGGGCAACGGGTACTGGTTGTTCTTACTTGCTCAACGTGCCTTTGTACTCAAAGAGGGGGGGATTCTAAACATCACTGCTTTGGCTCCATGCTAAGCTGCAAGAATGCAGGGAAAAACCTTGGAGCTTGAAAGATTTGCCCCAAAACAAGGCATAGGTCTAACACTTGGCAGCCCCCAAACCCAGAACATATCAACACTTGGTGGGCGCATCTTGCAGCTGTATTCCCTGCATTCCCCACAAAAAGGAAGAACAACATACTTGGAAGAGCCGGTTGAATACACAAATGAGCAGACCAGTGTGTCACCCACACATAGAGGGGTTTGGTGCCCTTTGATTACTTCAGCCCACCTGGAGTTAGAAGAGCAAATATCCATTTTGACACTTGAGGGGCCTTCTAAAGGGTTGGGTTCGGCAGTTCAGCCGCCCTTTTGAGTTAGAAAGGCGGTTACATCCCCTTGGGTTAAAACAGCCGAACCCCCCCCCTCCCCCGGCCTTTTGGCGTCAAAAAGCAGGCCAGGTCAAGCACACAAACAAATAACCCATGCAAGCAAAGTTCACATTCTGAACCCCACAAACCTTGACGCGTAAAGCAATTGGCTTTGGCAATTCCCCCAAAAAGGGGGGGGGGTGGTACCCAAATTTGCAGGGGGGCAATGTTGACCTTGGATTGATCTGGGCACCAGAATCAAACGATCCCTCGTGTGGATCATGTTCCCACAAAAACAGGAGTCCCACTTAGCAAACGAGTGGTGGATCTATCACAGCAACGGCGCAGTAAACACTGCAAGCAATGGACAACGGAACCCCTTGACGTGCACTTTGCTTATAGCGCCTCTCCTTCATGCGGGCTGTCTTTTTCGACAGTACCCTTCTCAGTCTAGTGTAGATGCCAGGAGCTCCCGCGTTCTCTGCCTTTTGTCTTGCCTACTATTTGGTTACCAGGCGGTGCTTTTACCACAGCCTTCTT